TAATAAAGTGGTTATTATGTGAGATTGACACATAAATTACCAAACATCTGCCTTATTCTATAGATTAGTATATTTAGGCTCCAATAGGAGAGGGAAAAGTTATTTGTATTGCACAAATTACACAAAGGGCATCTCAAAGTTGTTTACAATAAGTCGAAATTGAATCGTAATAATACAACAAGTAAAAAATATATAATTGCTTTATTAATGTTTGTTTTATACTTTAACATACCTTCAGTAAATGTTGGTCTCAAACTCTACTAGAAGTGGTCCAAAGTATTGATAATCAGATACTAATTCTACAATAGATAGAAGTACAGTATCAATAATAAAATATTTTATGGTATAATTTACACTTTGATACCAAAATAACGCATTTTTCGAGTCTTTTCAGTATTGGAATAGCGTTTTAAATATGAGTAATTTCACCACAAGACTTCAAATGTCAATTTATAATCACACTTAAAACTTGCCCTATAGCAGTGTTTTTCAACCTTTTTTGAGCCAAGGCACACTTTTTTCACTGAAAAAATCTTGCGGCACACCTCCAGGAGAAAATGTAAAAATGTATACAGTACTAATGTAAAAAAATATATACTGTACATACTCTGTGTGATATATAAAGTATATCTTATCTTATAATGTATACAGTATACTCTGTAGCCTATATTCACAATATACAGTTATTCTCATCAAAATGCTTAAGTCCAGGCCTTGAAATTAAGCTTTATTTAATATTTCTCGATACAATTAACAAGAGTTTGGGAATAAAGTGGCACTAACTGTGTGGAAAAAAACTAAGAAAATCCACTCTCTGCCCAAATAGTCAAATAATAACTCACACAGAGAACATGCATTGTTAGTGCATGGGAAAAATGTAGGTATCCGAGCTTTAAATTCAGGAGTTTTGGATGAGGGACACGGGAGGTCCTGAACGCGAGTCCATGGTTCTGTCCGGTCCGCATGTCTGTGGTTCTGTCCACTCGACTACGGTCTGCGCTCGGTACCCAGTTCAGAAGTGCGTTCGCGAGAGCTGTTGTACAAAAATTGTACATTTCATAGTTAAACCACTACAACGCGGCCACAGCTGCCCCGGGGCAGAGCGGAGGATGTTAATCCTGTTCAGAAACGGCATAATTCATTTTCAAAAACGTCTCTATCACTTTCACTTCTCACTCGCCACAAAGCTCTTGTCTCGCTCCCTCCCACATTTGTTGGTCGCATCCAATTTTACCTTTCTCGCCACAATGCTGACCTGTTACAGCCAGTGGTCGCATCCAATTTTTCAGTTTCAAAGTACTTAGCTATCTGCTGCCATCTACTGATTTGAAAAAGTATTACATGGTTACTCACAGTTCAAAACAAGTCACCGCTCGTCAACAGCGAATGCAGCTATTTTTAGACAAAGTAGACGAATTTCTCACGGCACACCAGACAATATCATACGGCACACTAGTGTGCCGCGGCACAGTGGTTGAAAAACACTGCCCTATAGTACTTGTGCTTCCCATCTTAACCAGGCCTAACTTGAGAAAAATATGTTCTTGTGTTCTTGTTGAGAATGTGGATGCTCTTTTTAAAGTCTAAACTGCTATAGGACACAACTATACTTTTTTCCAGTGACTTTGTGTGGTATCCCAGCATGTAGACTACTTTCTTGTCAGCTTTACTGCTAATTCCGCCATTCTCCTGTGCAGCGCTTAGTGCAAAAGTACAAATACACACACCACCCCCTTTGCACACTCAGACACACACTTTACTAATCAGCGCTATTGAATTCCTGCAACAATGGCCGCTCATCCCACGGCCACCCAGGCAGCTCTCTCGCATGCACACTAACACCAGCATCACCGAATCACGAGTTTGGCCTTTTGTTCTTCTATTGTGTTTACTGCTTTAACTGCTATTCAAGTCATCTTTACCCACAGGTCAGGGCCCGGCACTATCAGCTGCTGGATTACCAACAAAACACAAATTCTTTGTCTAATCGGTTTATCAAAGTGTAGGTGTTTTGGCTACTGACACTATAATGGCACCACATATCTCCTATCACAAGCCTTTTTGGATCAGGTAACGATTCAGTCAGTTTAACCAATAAAGGGGCATGTGACAACTAGGAATTACTACTATCTGATGTTCCCTTTTTACAGATGAAACTCATTATGGACTCATTATGGGCAATATGGACTCGTATATTGAGATATATTTCATTTCATTTCATTTAAATGTATTCTTGTATAGCCCTAATTCACAACAGCAGTCATCTCATAGGACTTAACAGAGCCATTGAAATCACCAACACAGATCAAAGAATCAACAGTTAAGACACAAAAAATATAGAACACATCCATCCCTTGGTCCATAGGGAGAGACCAATGTCAATGAATATATCAATCCTTGTTTTTTGTAGAATGTGGATAATCATGGCTCATATCTTGTAAAACACCCCAAATAAAACACCTAAAAAATGTTTAAGTCATCAAAATTGTTCATTCATTCATTTTCATCCCCTTTATTAAACCATTTTTGGGTCGGGGGCTGGTAATCTTCATGGCACCAGCTCCTCACTGATCCTTCTGCAGGTGGTCGGTCCACTGGTTGCTATGAAACAACCAAGTGACAAAATTGTTTGTCCATTGAAATGAGTGAAATGTAACAATAGCATATGTTGGTTTTAGATTTTAAGTTGAATTACAGAAATAAATGAACTTTTCAACAAAAATCTTGCTTTTTAATGAAATCATTGTACGCACTATCACATGGTACATTTGCAATTTAGATTTTGAATGTTTTTTATAATAACAACTTATTATTGGCATATTTTCTGTTTTTTTTGTTTTATGAATAGGGATAGGCGCAATAAGCTTTAGTTTCTGCCTATTCCATTTCAGACATAATGTGTACATTGTCTATTTCCATGTAATGAATGTTAAAATGTCTGAATAAATCAAAACTGAATCTGAATGATCACAATCGTGAGTTATTTCTTAGGCTTCACAAACTTCTCATATTCAATGTTTTGCAAATATAAGCTAATAAGTCTTTTCAACTGAGAACAAGTACACCCACATCTCATTTGAATAAAACACAACTAGCACACGTTCATTTGTACTGCGTTCTTTTCACTTTTGCATGATCTGTAGGAACTGTTTAAACTTTGCTTTAGCAGTTTGAGTTGATTCAGACAGGGCCAGTCTGCCTCGCCTAACAAACGAGAGGCTGTGGTGGAAGGCGAGGAATTTACAGCATTTACCTTTCATCTACACAGGTGGCCGACTGTGGGTACATGCGCTTCATTATGTGCCCAAGAATGTGTGGTGTTGGAGCATTGTGCGGCAGTCACAACAGCCAAGGAGTCAGTCATCCAGGGGATCCCCAGGTGGGTCTTGTTCTACTGACGTTTATATTTTCCACACTGTTCACAGACGTATGGGCTACAGATACACTATAGATCGTAGTATTTACAACTAGTTTGTTTTCAGATTAGTACAGGCCTAGACAATAGACATAAAATCATAAGGATACAAGGATATCATAGTAATGAAGCAGGCAATACCACAGAATCACTTTTGTCATTAAATTTATTTTGTTAGTTTCATTTCTATAGTTGGTGAAGAACAGTCACACAATCATAAGCATAGTTTTCAGAAGTCACAGTGTTTCAGACATGTATAAGGACTTTTTAATACAAAGAAGATCAAGGAATCACACTAGACTCCTCATCTTCCAAAAAACCCTCTGCTCTAAAGTGTTGCTGATCTCCCCTCACCATTGCCCCATCTCACAATGCAAACAAAACAGCATAACTCTGCAACAAATAGATATATTTATATAATATATATATTTACTCTTTAAAAATAGAACTTCAGTCTAGATACTATCATCTGTACAAACTACAAAAATAAAATTTTATTATAAATAATTTATATGGCATGACATTAACATTTTTGAAATAAACTACAAACCAACGCAGAAGCTCTCTCTCCCCCAACAAGTTCTCTTATAGCTTTCTATGGTTAGGTAATGACGATGATTCTTTGCTGTTTTTCTCTTCACAACTGCACAGTAGCTAATTTACACTTTATACAAAAGCTGCCACTGACATGACTTTTCCCTGCATTTTAACCTGGCAGTGATAAGACCAATATTGATCAATGTAATGCAATGCAGGCTTTTGAACTGTTAAAAAATAAACATGAACACACGGCTGTTTTATGCTACAACTCCCTTTGCATTGGATTCAGATTTCCCTTTTGAAAAAAATAAACAATGGGATACACAACTGTTACGCAAAAAGTGACAGACGTGAACCCCGCTTATATGTTGAGCTTAAAAACTGCAGAAAAATATCTCACGACAGCTCTTTCAAGTAGTTTCAAACAGCAAGACAAGACAAGATGGATGGATTATTTACAATGGCTTTTCTAACTAAGGTGGACTCATAGAACAATACTCATATCCATGGTTGAAATAGACGATACACAAACACTGAGCTTGAAAAACAACATATGGACTACAGAGTTGATGGGGGAGGAGATACTGCATTTTTAAGGCAAATCACTTAAAATTATTTTAAAGTGTAGCAGCAAAAAAGAATAATACAAATAGAGATAAAACACTGACCATGTATGTTCAATATGTCTAATATCTTAATAACCTTTTCTGTTGACACTTTGTACATATAGCACATCTTATTCTGTACAATGTCGGGGCAAAAACACAAGTCTCCCACAAACAAAAACACTTTTACATCTTAAACAAGAGTATACTCATGTTATACAGTACTCTTTTTAAATAGCTTCCCTCTTTTTAGTATAAAATATACTCATAAAATTATATAATTATTAAAACAAGGCCTTTGAATCTGTCCTTGAAATAGATCCTCTCCTTGCTTTAGTGACGATTATGTACATGACAAGGTGCAGAGAGGCGACAGGGCGCTCAGTGAAGCAGCAACAACTTTGAAACTCAAATTGACAAGGACACACCAAGGGAGGAGCTCAGCAATCTTTGGACGCTGGTTTCCTCAAACCTATAACAGATAATGAAAGCATTGGTTAGCCATGAATTCATTGATAAGGACAACAGCAACCTTTTAAAAAGAAGTACCCACCATGTGTCCTGCCTTGCTGGTGTTCGGTCTTGTTGTGAGTTGTTTCTAAGTCTTGGAGCTCCAGAGAGTCTCTTTTACATGAAGAAAAGTTTGTTTTGCCACTGTAAGTCCTCTTAGCAGCCTCGAAACAGTCTGACTCGCTATCTGTGTCAAAACCTTCATGCATGTAGCCCTGATAAGCTGCTCCTGGTAAAGATGGGTGCACGGCCACAGTGACAGAAGCAGTTGCCGTCACCATGGTAACGGGTCCCTGTGCGCCTTGCACTGTGGGCAAGGCAGAGCTGGGCCCTTTAGTCCTGTTGGGCAGAGGCCCTCTGTTGCTCTGATGTCTGGGTCCACTTTGATTAGTCCTCCCAGTGAAAAATGCCCTGTCGCCAGGCAAAGGCTGGCGGGTCCGTTTATCTCTGTCCCAGCACGTGACTTGGGAACCATGTGTATGGGATGGATCCACTCTTCCTGAGGTGTTCTCTTTGAAAGGCTTTACCACCTGTCAAAAACAGCAATAGGTAAGACAGATTCGACATTTATTTTTGAGGTGCACTTTTAGCCAAGCAGTTAACCAACATACCGTGAGCTTGGGAAAGCTGGGGTTTGTGCTTGCTTCCAGCAGGATGTCTGATGTTGGCGGCACATTTGCATGAGATGCTACAAATGCACTCCTGTCACAGTACTTGTAATCATCTTCTATACCAGATGTGGTGGTCACCTCAGAGTAGTACTCTGAATCAGAGGACTCTGAAAAGGCTGGTGGATGAGACGACCTGGGGTTGTGATGACCGGTGTAGTAGCCATGGTGGGTCATTGGAGGAGGCATGGATGGTTCAGGTGAAGAGAGCCGACTGGAGTTATCCTCAGGGGTGATCTCAGCTGGAGGTCCCATCATCGACAGGAGCACAGGCAGCAGGACTAAACCATTGAGCATGCCCAGAACCGTGAGGATAGCCAGCACAGCAAAGAAGTACCTAAAAGGGTAAAACAGAACCATGTTAGATTACTTCATTAACTGTTTATTGTTTATTTTTAACTGTTAGCATCACTGTAAAGCTAATGCACATATGAGAGAGGGAAGTTGGGTGGACGAAGCCAGGGAAAAACCCCCACCCCCCCAAAGGCAGGGGGTGGGGGGCAAATCTGATTCCCAACTTAAGTCCAACTAAAACACGCTTTGATGGCTTTGCTGTAGCTACACAACCTTCTCGTGCAGTGTTTTGGACTGTGTGTACGTGCATCTCAGCCGAGCTCTGAGGAGACCTTGGGTGGAGGCAGAGCCACAAGAAAGAACTCCCCAAGAAAATTAGAGGACTCCACTTAAATACTAACAGAAAGCAGAGCGAGAAAGACATTGCAACGCTAACCACCAACTAGTCTTGAAGAGGTAAAGGAAGAAAAGACAAAAAAAATGAGGTTTACAAAAATGGACAGGGGTAAGATTTACCACTACTTAAAGCTCAATGTAAAGCCTCAAATTGCGGGTCTAATCTGTTGAAGCTGTCTTATAGCACAAAAACTTATAATTGACTCTATAAAAATGCACATGCAAATAGTATGTCCCAGACTCAAGGGGACCTCCAACAGCGTCTCACTGTTAGGAATTCTGTTGTTTATATAAACTGTAATCTTTTCCATTCGTAGAGAGGGTCTGGGGAGGCATGTCTGTGTGCGTGTGAGAAAGCGAGTGTTTACATTTCTCCCCATATGTGCGTATTTGTCCGCACATTTGTGTTCCTCATGCTGGAAGGATGTATGAGTGAGGAAAGAAAGAGCAGCCTTGGAGTGTGCATCGCTGTTTATTTAGTGGATTACAAGGCCAGGAGATGTTTACAACAGTATATTTATGTTGCCCCCCTGCCCTACAGCTCTGGCTTGTCCCTTTCACCTGATCACTGTTACTATGATAGCTAAATAGGACCTCCTACTAAGAAGATGCTGCATTCTTGTCTTTAACTTCTATTGTATTAATGCAATAACACAATAAAGGCCAACCAAATGGTATTTATCTTCCTTTGCTTCTGTTTCTGTATGGGAAACTGTGCTGTAAGAGTCATGAAGGCCTGCAGCAGTGAGCGAGCTCAAGGTTGTGGTTTGGGTTTTTGGGCCACGACCACATTCATCTGAAAAACATCAAGCTATTTGCCTTTTTCCACTCTGACCATGAAACATTGGTAGAACGCACACATACATTAATTCTGTTCACACATTCGACCTGGGGAGCCGAGGCTGTTGGTGGGCTGATTCTATGCGCTGACCAGTTCAATGTAGTCTCATTTTTTTCACCCAACATGAAGAAAGCCAAAATGAATGATAGGAATTTTTACAGATTCCCCCATGTGTAGAAGTAGACGGGATGAATAAGAGTGAGAGACACCACCCAGTGGGTAGCAGAACACTTCCATGTTTACGAGCAGCTGCTACACACCCTTGATGTTTTCCCCATTTGTTGTGCTCCGAGGTTAAGGAGACAGTGGATGCATGTGTGCTAAGATTGACAGAGCCAGGTGCATGTTTGTCACTGTGTGTGTGCATAAATAGGGGCATAGCATTTCCACCTGCATGCTCCTCCGACCCCCCACAAAGCTTCCTAAGTGAGACTAGACAACTGGCACCACACACCAACCAGCAACAGCCATTGCGCTAAACCAAAACAAAGCTCATCTGAAGTTGACATATGGGCTGTAAACAGACGGAATGCCTTATGTGTCTTCCACCTCGGCATGTAGAAGTAGTACTCACAATCTATGCAGCTATGTATCTTACCTCATAATGAAATCGAACTCTGATCCTGCCAGCATCAGAACACCAAGTAGTGTAGAGATGGCTCCGTCGACCACCGGGGCAAACATGTGCTCTAAAGCCACAGCTGAGCGTTTGTTCCTGTTGCCAATCGCTGTCAGGAAGCCCTGGTGGAGGTAGAGTATGGAATAAGTGGAGACTTTGCACTTTTGAGCTATAACTGTAACTTTTTAAGGAATTTTATGTCATAAACTTTCATTCATTTATTTTTCAATTAATTTTGAAAATATTCCATATGTGATCATGAGTAATACAAAAAGTGAGACCTACCAGTGCGATGTGAACAGTGAACTCCACTCCGATGCCAACTGAAGCAATGAGTATAACGACTGGAATAGCACTCAGCTTGATGCCGATCAACCCCATAATTCCAAACAATTCCACGGTCATCATGGCCAGAATAAACACCTGAAAGAGAGAGAGTGGCAACATCATGAGTTTTGAGTTTTATGGTTAGAAAATATTGATTAAGTATGGGCTTTATGCTTTGGAACTTAAAGCATTGCCTGTTCACCCCGCGCAATCTTTGACCCAGTGCTGAGGATCCTGACCACATGGCTTCAGATTACACAGCCTCAGGCTAATGCCAAGGTCTACTTACTCCCTCTCTTTTTTTGCTTTTCCTTAAGTAAAACAACCACACAATGTAATTTAAAGATTTAAGGGTAACTATATCTTTTCCATTAATATACACAAAGCTCTTAACACCTCCCATGTAGAAGGCAATGTCACAACACAAACACCAACAGCTAGTCTGCTAATTTGCTAATTTGTGCTTTTGATCACAACAGGGACTCTCACACCAGGGGGCAATTGCGTTCAAAGTAAACAATGCTTTATGCCACACAAAGCTATATATCTGGTGTAGCACAGATATGCAAGCCTCTACCTATTTTGAAAAAGTAGCTTGAACTAAACAAGTTCTAATTGGAATAGGGTTTATTGCTGTGCTGCACTTATATTGGTGTATGTGTGGGCCCTGAGGTAGCTAGCAGTGATCCCACCAGCTTGTGTGTGAATGAATGCTTTTTAGACTATCCCTCACACACATGCATAGTATATCCTTGATGGATGGGTTGAGTAGGCCAAGGTCGCAACTGGGGAGATCTGTTCTGTCCTCTTCCATGTGACAAAAGCTGTGGAGGGAGCTGGAGGTAGAGGCTTCAGGAGAGCAAAGCCTTCCCTTCGCTCCTTTGCATTTCATTTTCTATGGCCAACCCAGCCTCCATTAGAATGACAAAGGTCCTTGTATTTGTGTGTGCGAGCGGACTGGCCCTCCACAGAGAAAAAGGGGGCCCCCAAGACAGAATTATTGAGCTGTGCTGAGAGGGGAAAGTGAGACGAAGGCTGTAGGTACTAATGATATTGTTGATGAAATGAGCGGATAGAAATAAAAAGTAGACTTACAATGATGCCAGCAGTCCACGGGTTGAGCAGGAGTATGGCGCAGACCAGGAAAGTGCAAGCCAGGACAACGCTGATTGACAGAAGGAACCAGTGCCTGAGCCCGATGTACTGCTCCCAGAACAGGAAGGGGTAGCCGTTTGGGTAGTTGAACACACCCTTGCGACTGAACTCATCACAAATGGCCCGCACACTCTCGATGGCCTCCACAAAATCACTGGCCTGTCTGAGACCGTTCAGGTAGAATGGGAATTGGGCAAACTCCAAAGGCTCTGCTGCTTGAACTGCAAAAAAAAGGAGGGGAAAAAGGTGGTTCATACCCTAAATGCCAGAAAATTTCTCTTAACAGTGTACGGGAAACCAAAATTAGACATGCGTTTTCAGTTAAGGCTTCTTAAGGCTAAAGTAATTTGTTTTCAGATGAGATACTTACTGCGCAGATTTTCCCCTGTGGTGTCGTATTTGTCGTGGATCCACTCTCTGGGATGGGGGTAAAAGTTGGCCTGGGATGCGGCGTAGCCTAAGGGATCATTGCTGACCCAAACAGTCAAATAAATGTAGAAGACCTCGGGTGGTACGAGACCTTCAGAATCCACAAGTCGACGAGAAGTTAACTAAAAAAAGGGGGGGAAGCAATTAACCAACTGGCAATGCAAAAGAGAAGAGAGACTACACATAGATAAAGTCGATAGCTGCATACCTGGCTGTAGTTAAAAGGCTCTTTCTTTGACCCTGTTTGGATGAGAAGCTTGTATGCCAAAGCTCCATCCTCTGTGCCGTTCCGATAGCTGTCAGCTGTAATCCTGCCCGACTGCCAATCTGCATCAAACGCAACTTGAAGCCCTGTGAGGTAAAAGACATGGGTAAGACTGACGTACTTGGAAAAAAAAATGTTATTATGACTAGAACATGTAAAACAATGATACACTAGTCAAACATGAAGTTGCTTTGTTTCATCTCATTTTGCACTCAGCTGGTTCTGATTGACCTGTTAGCTATTACTTCCCCTTGACTGGGTCTCTGACAACTTCTAGCCTGCGGAACTTTCGCAAAGATAACCTGTGACCCCCCCCCCCCTCCCCAGCCTGTCTACGGTACCACCCTGAAGCCTAGGTTGAATAGTACCAATGAACTTTCTCTCACTTTTCACAAATTCTCACCCTAACACACCCAAATCATCTCAAATAACCACCAGACTCCATAGAAATCAACACGTTTCTTTCTTACCTCGAAGCCAGTCTTGGAAGTAGTGCAGCCACATCCGGGGTAGCTTGTTGCTGCTGTCCCGAACCACGTATTTGACAGAATTGAAGGAATTGTGAAGCTGAATCAGTAGTCTCTGTGAGTGGGCATAATCAAATCGACCCATTGTCACCAAGTACATGTTATAAAAAGAGAAGTACTTGAACTGTGCATCGATGAAGTCATACTCCTTAGTGTCTCTTGGCACAATGTCTGTAAGGTAGAGTCCATCGTGCACCATGGTGGTCCCGTAAAGGCTTAGTCCAAGTAGTCCAAGGAATAAAACCACAACAATAGCTTTGCTTTGGGGCTTCAGCAGCAGAGGAGCATATTTGTCCCGGGCAAAGCTTGACAAGTTCCAGTCCAGGAAGGGCAGAGGGACGCACTTTTTCCCCGATTTGGAGTCCTCCACTTGCGCCAGAAGATCCCGAGTGGAGCTAGACGTGGGGGTGAAGAGCTGAGATCCAAAGGGGTCCGTGACAGTACTGGTGGGTGTTGGCGTTGATGCTGAAAAACAAAACAGAATTTGTCAGATTTGGATTGAATTTAGTTGCTTTCATCAATCAGTAACAAAACGAAGTATGTCCTTACCTTGTGTTTGAGCGTTATTGCAGACAATGATAGATGGGCTGGTGGATATTTGCGACGTTGGAGGGAGAATAGTGACAATGTGTTGGCCCGCCGCATCGCACTGTGTAAAAGCTTGCACGGTGGTGGTGATGTGCGTGCTGGTGGTGATGGTGGAGCCCGTGGTGTACTGGTGCGCCGCAGAGGCCGTAGAGGCGTGAGACTGCTCCCCGGCGTCTGACAACTCGTGTGGGGAGAGGTGGATGACGCGATCGGAGCAGGGGCTGTAAAGGCAGCAGAGAACATCCAGTCGCTTGTCCTCTCTGCGGTGGAGGTCTAAGCTGAGGATGGCGGGGAAGATAAGCAGCACCATGGCAAAGTTGAACACGACCACCACGGCAGCCTGTGAGAGACGAATTGAAAATGTGACAAAATGCATGATGTAAAAATACCGTGCTAAGAATACACATGAAAGAAGACTCCGTGCTGCACAATATTTTTGTTTCAAGTCAATGCAAAAATCGTCACCCACCGCAGGCTTCAACTCAACCCAAGGCTCTCAAGCTAACAATATAACTAGCTTGCGGTTTCCACTCTGTGTATGTCTAGGGTATGCTTGTGTGTTAGCCAGACCACCCACAGTTACAGAGCAAAACCGCTTTGACGACCAATGATATACTATGCACTACTCTACCCTCTTTTTGTCTACTTTTTTAGCCTGTCTCTTCTTTAGCTTATTACACAATAAAATACACACACACACACACACACACAAATAGCCCTGTAGGTGCAGTGGCAATAAAAGCGGGAACAAAGAGTCCGAATAAATGTCGCTTCTCTTAAGTTATCCTATTCATTTTCAAAGCAGCCCCAGGCCCCATAGTGGGTGATTGTGCTGCGGTCTTTGAAGATTATGTGCAAAACATACCTGCAATGAAAACGCTCGTAGTGCAGGGATGGGCACAAGGGCGGCCATAAAAAATGCAATCATGTTGTTGATGGAAGTTAGGGCAACGCTGGTGCCTGTGCGACGCAAGCAGTCTCCAGTCTTCTCCTAGAAAGTAAAGACATGCTTAGTCACACAAACACAACACAAAACACAGTATAGATTTAAAAAAGATCTTAAATAGTTACCTTAAAAGGAATGTTAGAGCCTGTTTCTGTAAAGGAGTGGGCCAACAGAAACATGTCATCTACCCCAATGCCTAGAGCCAGGAAGGGAAGCACCTGTGGAAGAGATTCATTAAAATATAATTTATGTTTAAGACTAAAATAAATAATGGTTTTGTTGTGTTTCATAGCTTTTAAATCTACCTGTGTGGTTGCAGCGTTGAATGAAAGGCCGAGTAAAGAGCAAAGACCCAGTCCGGCAGCTACGGACAGGGCTACAAGAAGTACACCGGCAAGCCCCACTGCACCCTGGGACTTTGCACAGTCCCACCGCAACATGGTCACACACGCATAGGCCAGCTACAAAGAAAGCATGTATGTAATTAGAATAATACAGAATACATCAAACTAGTAAGGACAAATGAATGATTATGATCTAGATTGTCATTATACAAATACCAACACTCTTACCATTAAAAGGTATCCACCAGCCACTCTGATGACACTGACATCAGAGAAGGATTTCATGATGTCGTTGAGGGTAGTGGTGGAGAAAGCATGAAGGGACTGGCTGGAGTTGGATGGGACACTCTCATGGACCACCTAAGGAAATTAACATAAATATTGTTTGGTAAAAATGACAAATAAACAAATTACTATAATGTATTAGGTTGCTAATGATTCCTTAGTGAGAAACCCATATTTTAACAGCTCCTTTGAAATGTATGTGTGTGCCCGCTAGCATGTGTGAGAGTATGACAACTGAGGAGTAATGAGCACAGATGCCAGAGGTTGTGAGGTCAGAGGTGAAAATGGATGGGATCGGATGGCTTTGGATGGCTTTGGAGGGGGCTTCTCTCTCCCCTCTCCTCCATGCCACAAATTGACCAACACTCCTCAAAAGCTTTTCTACCTGTGAGCGGTTAGCCATCTCCGCCAATCTCGGCACACATCTGTACTCGCTCTTTTAATGTGTATAGAGAACGAAAAGGGGGCCCGCTGTCTTTGTCAATGTGGAGTTTTAACCCCCCCACCCTAATTCCGCTGGTCCACATGTTGATGATGGCCTCTCCTTCTTACTAGCACTGTGGTGGGTGTCAGTTATCAGGGCAACAGCTTGTTCCTATAACTAGGTCCCTGACAGAGAGAGATGACTGCCCTACCACACACACCCACACACACACTTACACACACATATATATATAGCATATACCTTGTGCCCTGGAGTGCCCCGTGATTGGCTTTACAAGGCAGCTGAGGACTGACGGAATTCAGCTTTTAATATGTGTGTCCAAAAACAAAACTAAAGACTAAGAACCAGAAGTTGCTCTCACGTATCCATTTAACCCATGGCAAAACATATTCAATTTTGAACTAAAGGTATTCACTCACTTCAACAAATTTTCTTTGCCAGGACTCCAGGATGGCAGTGGCTTTGTCTTCGTTCCAGTTGATGTCGTGGATCTCATAATCGTCCTTGAAGTGCTCGTAAAGCTGCTTCGGACTCATCAATAGGAACATGGTTTGGAGAGCCTCCGCGCTGCAAAGGTGAAGAGATGATTTTGAGAACGAGAACTCAAAGCCCAGCACTAGATCCAATAGTGTATAATATTATAAAAAAACACAATGAACTATATATATATATATATATATTTTTTTTTTTTTTTGAAAACTGCAAAAGTGTTAGCAATTCACAGTTTTTGTGAATGGCTACATGCTACAGGTGTCATCTCTCAATTCCACTATTTGTCTGACTGCCGGTGCGTACGCCAGTGTAAACATCTTTAAGCAGGTGTTATCTCTATGTCTGTCTAGACCCTGATCCCAGATGTCCTCTGGTTTTCTTGGCACGGCCACACTGAGCTCAAATTGGCAGGAAACTGTCATAAATCATATCTTTAACCAAATGTGTGGCTTTCTGCGGTTACAAATGGAAATCTGCCTTCATCAAAAAAATATGTTTTGATCACAATCTGGGATCCTGACCAACAGTCACTCCATTTGTTTTGGCCCTGTTTAAAATAATTTCAAAGCAAATACGTGGAAAAAAAACTGCAAAATGTTTCCTTTTAATAGTTTTCATCAAATCAGGGTGATGTTATATGTTTTATATAAAGGAATTCAGGCATAGTTTTCATTACGACATTATAAGATACATATTTTATTATTGAGAAATAAAACTGTCGCACTCGCACACACTCACCTTAGCAGAGCGTCCTGGCTGTTCTTGACCCGCCCCCCCAGGATCAGCTCCTCCTGCCAGTGCATGAACTTCCTGCTGAAACCATGGCAACCACCCTGGAGACGCCCGGCAATGTCAAGGCCCTGAAAAGACGGAGGCGGAAAAAAAGTCAGCCATTTCTGCCTGAAAACACCATGTTGAATACAGCTTCATTCTGAACGTACCTCTCCTTGCTCCTTATTGGGTGCGCTCAAAGGGCAGTCTGGGTCTGAGGGGTCCAGACAAGGCCTGTTCATGTATGCGTGGCCCACCTGTTAACCAAAGAGCATTGTTAATTATATCAAAATTAAAGCTGTAGTTTCTCACTTCCTTTAATAATTTATACATGGTGTTTGATCCACGGGAAGAGGTTGGTCAAAGTAGATTTTAGTGGAAAAAACGCAGACAACAACATATAATGCAACATATTTTTTGCATGAAGAAGAGCCATTTGAGTCACAATTTGACACTTTGGGTTGAAAGCTAACTAGTTATGTGAGGTTGTCATTCTCTATTAAAGTTTTCTGTTTGAATAATCTGATCTAAAGATGTGACAGAGGAAGAAAATACATTAATGTGAACGCTAGTGATAGAACGAAACTGTTTTGAGAGAGAGTATTTTTGGTTTGATAGATTTCGATAAAATTGTTACATTTTTTGTGGTTTCTTTAAGTAAAGTAAAAAGTATATAAGACATACTTTCATCCTAACAAAGACTCCTACCTGTGCTTTGTCTAACATCTCCTTGAAACCCTCCAATGGCGTGAACTGACTTAGCTCCTCCATCAGTTTCACCGGGTCCAGATTCATCCACTGGATATCTGGCATCCCCCTGTAAAGAGGAGAGGCACACTTTTAATGGAGCATACAACCAAAGTATTTTCAATCACAACCAAAGAATGCGTTCAATTGGTTTAAGGGCATGAGGCAAGTGGCAGTTACAGGGTAAAAAAAGCGTTTATTATCCTGTTTCACGCTGCCACAATGCATGGGGAAGAGGCACAGTTGCACCCACTCCTCAATGTCGTACACTAAGTCATAACGATTACCTCTGCTTCGGCAACATCTTGATAAGAGGTGAAATGAGTACATGGAAAGGGTGCATCAAAAAAAGTTGCCCTTAGTAGCCTGGATTAAATTTAAAACTCAAACTATAGTGCAAAGTTCTGCCGCAATGGATAAAAAGAAGACTAAAGTATAATGACGCTCCCTCCTCTCCTATCCCCACATACCAGCGCCCTTTCTCCCTCCACTCTAAAGACACACTCTTTTATCAGCGAGTTTGTGCTTGAGTGAACGAGGCCCTTTTTTGTTTTGTTTTTTCATAGATTGGTGTGTTCTCTTCGGTTATTTCTTTCGCTCTTTTGCTTGGACTCCTTCTTCTATTTTTCTATTTGATACCTAAACCAGGAAAATGGATTCATACAAGCTCTCCCTGTGTAACAAGTGCAATTAATAAATCAGAGCAGATGTTGAAGAGTAGTCGGAGTACGTGTGAATCATCAAAGGCCTTCTACCCCTTTCTCTGGGAGACTGAAGGATGGGGAAACATGGGCTTGTCATACAACATACCAATGTCACTTCTTGACACAAATGTAAATACATAGCATGTTTGCAGATTTTTTGCTGTATCGTAAGCAATTTTACTGTGCGAGTCAATTGAAATATCTCTTCTCAGGAGGTACAAAAAAATCAAGTAACTCAATTTCTCAAAGAACTTCATCCAAGAATAAGAAGGAGAAAAAAACACCCAGACCCACTGTTAACCATCTTGTAGCTTCTCTCTGTCTTTCTCCTGGGACTTGAAGCTTGAATACTACCCATTTTATTTGTTGGACAACTTGGGAGCTGGAAGCCTGGGGCATTACCATGAGAATGCTGAGTGTTAGCCGTGAGCGGACAAAGCTGCCCCCCCTCCCTGCTCTTGGGCCCCTGCACTGATGGACACTCACTCGTAAACTGAAAGAATGCTTACCATTGTCTGACCCAAAGGGCTCCCTTGCCACCACCGCCACCACCCCCTCTTCTCTACCAACCCACCACCCAGCCATCTCTCCCTCTGGGTCCCAAAGAACTCTATTACTGAGCCGGGCCGCTGTCAGTCACTGTAGGCCCTGACACTACAACTGTATGTCTCCATCCGTGCCCATAGCCTCGCTGCTTTCTACTCAACGTGAACCAAAGTAGGACTTACGGCAAGTAGGCGGAGCCTCCCTGTAGTTTGGCCCCTTCCCAAAAACAGTCCAGTGGAGTGATTATCATACAGGGGAAGAGCTTGTCAATCATCTGAAAGTCAAAAAGAGTATAAACTTAATTTTGTGCCTCTAGAACAGCCTGACGTTATCACAGATTTAAACTTACCCGCTCAATCATGACATTCTCAATAATAGGAACTCCTGATTTGTAACATATTTTATTAAGATCCCATGATCTGGAAAATATAAGGGCAAAGTTAAGCACATCATTCCAATAATAAGTATTCCATGAGTGTGTGAGCTTTGGACCATGAAAAGCACACTTACTTTCCAAAGAGTGACACCTGGACCTTGCTGGCGGACAGGGCGGCTTCCATATGCACCAGCAAAGCCTCCTGGGTGAGGATATTGGTGCCCTCCTCTTTGGGGGTCTGTATGAGCATCTGTGAGGTGAACACCGACTCCTCCCCTTGCTTTTCCCTGGTGTATCGCAGCTCCTGACTCACCCGGCTGCCAGCTGCAACACAACAAACATCCATCGGATTAGATACATTTGAATCGCTGTACTTTGTGTTCATATGCACACACACTTCCAATAGAACACACACATTTAGATGGAGCTACGCCCTTGGCCCTCAGCAGTGTTGGTTTTGAAGGCACTTCACACAGGCTCACGTCTGGCCAAGAGAAATGAGTAATACAGATTCTCATTGGTTTTCTCTGCCAAACAGATGTGCCCTGTTAGTTAGGAACACCAGTCTTCTGATGCCCCGAACCCTATATAGCACTTCTTCAGTCAGAAGCGACGTTTCTAAGTTTTAGAAGATGATGTATTATTATGCAGGGATACAGATAGACGCAGATGTAGAGAAAGTTTGAGGGCTCTGTTGTGCCACGTGATACACTCTCGTCCCCTAATTACAGGAGGTTGCCCTGAAAAGAGTTTGCCAGCCGGGGGGATCTGTTCTTGTGCCAAGTGGACATAAAACATGCCGCGCTGGATCACAGAGGGTCTGCTCTACTACTATGCATGACAACCCTATGCAGAAAAGGAAGGATGAGGAGTGACTTTGAAAACTTATTTCAGCTCCAAGTTGCCACAAAGCATCCTCCACTATGCTTCGCTGTCTGTATCATAATTTCTTTTCCTTTTTCACCATCCAGGCTTGCCCCTCCCCCAACCCAGAGCAGGCTCCTATAATTGATGGGGAGAAAAGAAAAAACAAACTATTCAGTCTACGCTGCTAAAAAGTGTGAGATCAGGTTAGAATGTGGGCGTTAGAATTTTTTCCAGTATTTCTAGGCTTCACTTTAGAGGCTTTAATTACTTGCACAGTTCCTGCCCATATCAGGTCACTTAATTTATTTATTTTTAAGTCATGCTCAGAGCATGACCCTAAAATAGATTATTTAATAGGGTTAATAGCGCACAACACATATTTAAATATAACTATAAATGGAAAAGTCGTATTTATAAATGCAGTTTCTCACAGCATTTCATATGATTGCTTTACTGACGAAGCCGTTTACAGATGAAAGGAAACAAATGCCAAATATGTATTCATTGATAGGATTTATATGAATGGTTGTTCGCACTTATTCTCCGAGGAGAAATACAGTCCACTCACTTTGCTCACTGTCAAATACACTAACAATGAACATGTTTTAAATCCGGATGAGCTCCCCACGAGTTGGTTTCCTGACGGCACAGGTTCCTAATCAAAAACAATATGGAAAAGCCTTCCTCTACAGGCATCTGTTAAAACCTTTTTTGACATTTTGTATGTAACCTCTGCAGTGTGGGGTTTTGATCCCAACAGGAATTGGGTGGCTCGGAGAGACTCTGGCTCTGTAATTACAGGCCTCCTGAAGTAAATTATAGCTATTTGTGTCTCGTTCCTCCCATCTGGACCACCCAGACTGCTCCCTCTCTCCTCTTTCTCGCCTTCCCCTTCCACCCTGGTCCGGCCCCAGACACAGCTCCGAGCTCACTGCTTCTGCTCCGACTCGCTACCTCATGTCTCATGAGTTTCGGACTAAATTTCTTTTACTATCCAAGTTTGTCCTCCCTTTTCTAACTCGCTCTCACCCCCCTAACTTAACCCCGATCTAAGTACTTACACTCCACAGTCACAACCTTAAAGAGACAGTTCCCGGAATGTTTTCCCACCACTGAGAAGAAAGAGCCTTTTAGTGTGGAAAACAGAATTCAACACCACAGTGGTTGGTGATTTTACTACATGAGTAATGTTGCTAAATATTAGACAAACAGAATAAAGGCAGCTGTTTGAGTGGTTTGGGAAACATGACTATTATTCTGCAGTAACTATACAAACTATAATATCCTGAAAGGCAGTGATGTCACAAAGAAGATAACATTGACAAGCCATGGCATAATGTATCAGTGACTCAGTGCAGTGTTTTTACAGTCTGCGATGCAGTGGAGACAAAGCATTCTACTTCCACCTGCGCACTGCATTTTGAACAGGCAAAATAAAAAAAATAAAAAAAAAACTGGCCTTATTTAAGATTTAGCATTTGAATCAGATTCTTTTGAGCTTTAGTGGTTTTCTTCTGTTTTCAGGCCGTACTAGGTCAGGACGGGCCACCTTCAAAGTTCAGTGTGGTAGATTAGCTGGATTAGGGGGCCACTGAAAGACCCCACGCTGGTATGGAGGAAGACCTGAAATGGCGAAAGCTGCAAGTGACAAGTATGCGTGATTCTAGTATGACACTTCAGCATGAACTTTCAACTGGATGTTTTGGACGTCTTCCTTCTCCCATGTTTGCCATTTCTTCTTAAGAATGAAAAAATAAGACAATTGAAAATAAAAATGGTGGCATTGGCACATAGAACCAGTCAGAGGATGGTAGTTATAAGTGTAGGAATCAGTATATGAGGAGCAGAGTTGTGCCCTGTGCCCATGGGGCACAACGGCGGGCACAGCCTCAGAGCTGCCCAAAGCAGATGGGCGCTGCTCCATACAGCCCACAGCACTGAGCCACACTCAATACACAGCCTTTTGTCATTCAACTCAATCTTTCAGAAGTTTCCCAACAAACAGTAGAATAAAATAAAGGAGAGTTTCTGGATAGATTCTTTTTTTCTCCAACAAAAGCAAACGGACCAAAACTTTCCCAGAGTATAAGACAATGAGCGAGCTGGCTGTGGGAGTGTGAGGCTGGAATCACACAACAGAAGCTGGCACTTCTGTCTTACCTATAGAAATACATTGTACACATTGTGCACACTGTATTACTTGGGACTTTTTATGTTTGTATAATGCATTCAGGATCCAAACAAGTGTAAATAAAAGATGCTTCATCTCTATGCTCTCATCAAATTATGTCCATTGGAGTTCACCTCTAAAACAATGTACACACGATGATAAACAAGATGAAAAATCAGTTTCACTTACATTCTATTCAGATGTGCCAGTGGTGCTAGCCACCACACATAAATTTCCACCAGAGTTGGCATTTAGGCACTTTCTATTTCCATATGTATAGGCTTGCCTCTGCTAATTATGCTAATCATGGGCAGTGTTGGCCACTGTGAAAAATAGTCACATTAGACACTCCACTGACCGCTAATACTGCTTAATGTGTGGTTGAAACATACATTCATCCCTGCCTGAAAGGCATAATTTTTCCACGTTGCTGGTCTCATTCACAAGAGAAATGAATTTATTGAGCCTAAGAACTATTTCTTTTTCTCTCCCAAGTACCAAGAAAATGTTCAGTCTCTCTCCATCTCTCGGTGTCTTCACTTCTATACTTTGATGGTGCAAAGACAGTGGCAAATGGAGCAGACTCTGAGGTGACTGGTGCTGCTTTATTCTGTGCACAGAAAAGACAAGTCTTGGACTTGGCCGGGGGAATAAAGAGTGCCACACTATATTGATGAAGTCTTCTGTATCTCTTTCTCTTCCGCTTTTAGGCAGATGACGACTATAATGGCCTTCAAGTCCCCAGTATCATGCCCAGCAGTTAAAGAACATTTGCATCTTTAATGTAAGACTGAGACAAAGGAATACTTAGATCAAACTTGATTGAAATAGGTATATATTTTTCTAATTGAATAATTCAACATCTCCAAAACTAGTTGAGATGAATGTTTATGATGCTGACAAAGCAGGAATTAGACCAAAATGACACCGGTAAGATGTAGTTCAAGTGTTACAACATTCTCTCCTGTTCTTCCTGAGGTCACCAGAGTGGCTTTGCCATGTGTCTTTGCTAAAGGTGGGGTAGCTCCGACTGTTGAAGGATGTGCATTGGGGGCTGAGAAGAGATGTTAGGAGCAGGTCTTGGACTGAGCGATCGTGGAGAGGGGGTGAGATAAACATTTGGAGGTGACCCAGGCTGACTCTAGTCTTGTTTGTTCTCTCTACCAGTGAGGTCCTGGGCCCTGAGCACGGGGAGTTTATTTATCTAGCTGGGGCACCACTGTGCACTATTCACCTCCAATAATGCCTCATAGAGCTGCCTTTTTCTGTCTGAACTGAGCCGCTGTGTGCGCTCACATGAATTATAGCATTTACCTGCTGTGCCGAGCCGAGGTTTGTTTAGAGAAACCACTCCAAACACACAAGTGCCCACATGTGCATATGCTTATTGGCGCAAACTCTGCCACATTTCTAATCAAGTTGTTCATTGCTCTGCCCATCTGCTTGTGGTCCTGTCTGATTTCACTGCGAGCCAATGCAGACTGTAAACATTCACGCTATGTAACTGTGTATGGTCCTGAGCTCCCTCTTTACAATCCTCTTTTTACATGGGCTTTTTATGGCACATGTGGTGAGCCTGCTATCCACATAAGCATGGTCTCCTTGCTCTCATATTTAGACAGCTTGAGTGTGTGTACACGTCTGTCATACTTCACCTAAACTCTGCCAAAAAAGGATGAGTTTCGTTAACGTAGGAATAAACACCAGCACTTTCACGTTGACGCCATTGCTCCATTTCATTCTGCTCTGGATTTTTGAGTAAAAAAGCTCCAACTATTCAAACAATTACCCCACTGTGAATGTCATGCTTAGGTAGCTTCCTTTCTCCCTGTAAAAGTCAAAAGAATTCACTAACAGCTTCATCCTTCTGGGCATGAGAAAGTTGTTGTTTTTTTCTTATAGCGAAAACAGCAGTTTAAGTAAAGTGTCAGCTTGCAATAAACTTTCCAGCCTGTTCCTGTCCCAACCCCCAACAACTCACCCCATCCTCTTCTTCTTCCTGCACCTCTTTTTACGACTCTTTTTTCTTGAGTCTAGGACAATGCACACTTGGTCAAAAATGTATGCTATCATCGAGACATTGAGATGGCAGCGTTATCGACAGAACGACTGCTTTGATGACTTTTGTCCCATATTCTTTACTTTGTCACTATATGCTATGTGTAAGTAGATCCTAATCCTCATGTCAGACTAAACACACACGCTCCTCACCTGAGCAGGTGAACACAATGCTGGGAAGTCATTTACTTTGAGGCTTAAGAACTTGCTATTTGGCATGGTCAGATCAGACAGGCCTTTGTAGATTATAATGTATATATCCAAAGCCAAACGCTATGAAGCAATACGCAGCATACGAGGAAACAGAAAGGTATCAGAATATAAATATTAGTCACACCGACAAAGCAGACAAATGCCTTGAACCAGGTGGCAAAGATGACAAGTGTAGAGGGTGTGAGTGGTTGTGCTAATATATGATAGGAAGCATATGCCGGGCTCTGGCTTCGTTTACATCTGCTTGACTAGGGTTTCGCTTGTTTATTCTACACGGTTTAGGTGTGAAGGTTTGTTTAGGTTACAGAGATTGGTGGACGGAGTCTGTATCCTAACAGTAGCACCGAATCTCTCTAGGATAAAAGAACTGGTCCTAACCTGCAACATTCATGATTGCGGTGAACCCCACAGCCTTTAATTAAGAAGTAAATGTTTTTTTTCTGTACGTTCAGAAACATCAACAAAAACGTCCTGAAGATGGCTATAGTGCTACAGCTTCTTTATCTATAACAACTTGTTAATAGTTTTTCAGCACAAACACTAATCGCATTGTACCGATCATACAAAAGACAGTATTAAAGCGTATTTGTCACACCTCAGTTATATCTTTGCACAGTACTGTAGGTCATACCCTCCGCCTAACTTAGGTGCAATGGTGCATGCTATTCTGTGCGAGATAGAGGCTGAGCGGAGAGCTAACCTCGCCTTGTTACCAAACCACTTTACTTTCCATTGAGGCCCTAGCAGCTTTGTCAATGGGCTATTGGTGAAAACAAGGCAGGCAGAAACTTTAGAAACACGGCCACGGCCTCTTAAAGGCACAGAATTCCTTTTTACAGGGTTCCCTCAACTGCCACCCCCATGTCAGCAATGTCCTCTCCTAGTCTTATGGCAAGAACACCAAACAAGCAATCATATAATACAGCAAAACCTTTATATATGATAGTTTATGATACATGCGTAAAGTCAAGTTATAACTATACAACTGTTTTCTATTATTCTGCAACAGATCGCCCCAAAAGTTAACATCAGACTTTGACGTTCACAATTGCTAAGGAGCTTTTGAAGGATGCTAAACAGGTGGGTAAACTTCAACTTTCTTCTCGTGAGGTGGTAGTGGTGAAGCTGAGGAGTAAAAAAAAAGAAGTGGGGGGGGGTTGAAGGAGGTGGTGCCTACTTGCCTGCCTTGCCTCTTGTTGAATGGAATCCAAGAATAGTTAGGGACCACACAGGGAGTCGAGGGAGAGAGAGAGAGAGGGAGAGAGAAGGGGGGGAGGGGCCAGAGTCCTCAAAGATGGCTAACCATTCACACAGTCCATCTGCTATGGGGATCAAGCCTGGGGGTTTAAATGGATTTTTGTGCGTGTGAAATAACAAATAAAAAAGCTGCCACCGCATGATCAAAATGTTAACATGAAGGAGAAGTCAGAGATGCGTTTGCTCATTAAGTAAGCAGCCAACATGATTAGACAAAGACCTAGTTGTGAAAAGTATAACACAATTTGCTTTCAAAGGCACAATGTTTGAAAAAGAAACCACAGAGTCTGGAATGTGCAGCATACATGGAGTAAATCAGCACAAGGAAACTCTATGCCAAATAGCATCAAACAAGCATAAATCTGTCATCCTGGCTTTGCACTGTCAGTCAGAGGACACCTATTGCACTCCCATGGCACACATCTGACACTAACATGGCCACCCTGGAGGACTGTCACTCAAACTATTTATCACGACCAGAAAAACCCAGAAATAAACAGGACAAAGGAGGACACAGAGCATACTTTTACATCAGCGCCAGTATAGCCAGGGCCCAAGAAGAAGCCCCAAAAGAGAATAAAAACATGTTATGCTCACCTTCTACCCATAGCTGTTCGATGTCCGTTTCAATTGCTGCCACCCTGAGTCCAACAGAAAGTGCTCCGAATACTAAGAGTCCGATAAAGAGGACTTTCCCACAATGCCTCTGGATGTGGCATCCCAGCGAGAAGAGAAGAGCCTGGAACCTGGCACGGATCCACAGTGGAGCTTTCTGACCTACAGCTTTACCCTGTACCAGAGACATGGATAGTGTTAGCACCAAAGCATGATGATGACATAGGTGTAATCAGGATCATGTTACAACTAGAGCCTATATTGTGACACTATTACAAAACACCTCAGCTGGTAATAATCAGTACAGTCTGAATCAGTACAGTTTGTCACTAATGAAGTTTCCACACTTCATTAGTGACAAAGTAACATCAATGACATATAAATTAAATGTGCTTTTGAAAACGGTTTAAATTGATATATTGGTAACAACAGACATGGCATTTTAGCTGTACATTAATATTCACTAACATAGAGATAAAGACCTAATAAGAAGTCCATGTAGAGATATATTGAGCTTTCAGCAGGAGATGTAATGCAGTGATAAGGAACGTCAGAGCCTCGTCCTGCCATCTAAACCCAAAGTGCTCCAAATGTCAGAGCAGCTCAAGACATTGCTCTGGTTTTGTGGTTTCTCTCGAGCAGCTCTGAAACACGTCCAAGCATCCTGGCGGTCTAAAGATGCTTTGTCAGATCAAACTCAATCAGTGAATTCCTTTAACAGGATCCACCACATTTCCAAACACTCAGCCCCGGGCCAGTGCGCTCTCTGCTATGTACCCTGCCCCAAACACGCGATTAGGACCAAACTCTTCTTTTGTAGTATTATTATAGAGATGCACATGTTGGTGCTAAGTCAACTATTGGCCGAGCCATGTAAAGCGTGCACATGGCTGTGTTTTGACTTTACGCGCAAAAAATGCCAACATTCCGCTGTGGTTTACTCCGGAGCTCCGGTGGTCTCAGACCCCAGACGGGGATCTATCTCCAGCCTACAGTTCCCACATGTGCCTCGCCTCCCACTTCAGGCAACACACATCAGACTAACAGACTATTGACTGGCCATAGCTACTGAATGAAAGATCCCTGATCAAAATATGGCTGAACATAAGCATCGTATCACCTTAGAGATCTGTTTAAGTGCGAAGGCGGCGTGGCAGTAGCTGGGTCTGCGGAGGAGCTCCGTGCTCGTGGGCTGCTGCTGCTGCTGCTGGGAGCGCGTATAACTCGGGGGTAAATCTCCAAACACGCTGGCCCCTGGGACCCCGTGATCCGAGGCCATAGTCCAAAGACTGGAGGGGTAACACTGCGGCCAAAGCAAAGCGACGTATAGGAACGCGATAAGTTCACAAACAATAATCCAACATAGGACGGGATCGCATCCAGCGACACCGGCGACAAGTTGGAAGAACACTTTCTAGTCTTCCTTGGAGCCAAAGAAGTCTCGAAACTCCATCCCAACATTATGCGCCAAAATCCGTAACGATCCTCCAGTCTTCATTCGCCCTGGTAGTGAGAAACAACGCTCAGACAGGCAAGTCAACTCGTGTAGTAGTAGTTGTAGTAGTAGTTGTAGTAGTAGCGCTGTGTGTCTGAGTCCGTGTCAGTCTATCTCCGTGCTCGTAGCGGTAACATTTGGATCTGTTCGCCTCTCGGCAAATCCTGAAAAGGGAGGTTTGATGGAAAAGTGCTTCGGCTCCCATTGGCCAGGGAAGAGGCAAATTACTTTGCAAACATCGCCTATTATTAGCTGCTAAGCAACAGCTCACCAAAGTGGAGAGAGAGGGGGGACCACCCAGGCTGCTGCTGCCTGGGCTGAGGGGAGGGGCTGAGGGGGAGGGGGAGAGGAACTCTTTCAATAAACTGTGCTCACACACACAAGCGCGCGCGCGCACACACTCATACACACACGCAAACACACACACGCGCGCACACACATACATACACCCACAGACACACACACATACGCACGTACACGCACGCACACAGGCACACGTGCGCACTCACACACGCAACTCTCTGTGCCCTGCCACCAAGCCCCAAGCACCTCACACGTCACACTTTTAATAACAATATGAGTGGTCTTTATTCTAGAGGCCTACAATAAACTAATGTTAAACAATTTTCAATAAATGGAAATTAATTATAGAGCATATATATTGGGGCTTGTATATATGTATATGTATATATATGTGTGTGTATGTGAGAAAGCTCCTCTTGGTTCTGCTGTCATTGCTTTGCTGCTGTGTGCCACAATAACAGCTGTACCTTCACCCCATGTGGCCTGGAGCTTCTAAAAGTGACTTGATAGGTTTTCTTACACCTCAGAAAACTCTACCCTTTCCCCAATAAAATGAGCTGGATCTATTGGGGGTTTGCTCATGACTGCATATTTTTACAAACACCTTGAAGGCGGTTGGCCTCAATGGCCCCTTATCTGTGCAGACTTTTTGGAAAGTTTCCACATCTTGCCATGCATGATTTCATGAGTTCAGAAAGTGTTCCGCGTTAGAACTCAGAATGAAAGAAAGACAGTGGACATATTGTTTTCTAATCTCCACTAAATAAGTCACAAAGTGTCTTGGTGTAGTGCTCTCCTAAGCCTAGGTCCTATTGGTCCACTCAGAAGGGTATGGGGGCGAAGCCCGAACACTTTCAGCAGGTCAGTTGTTTCTTAGCTAAACATGACGCCTGCAGAACATTTGGCAGGTGTTAATACAAACCAAAAAAGCTGGAGAAAGGGTGTGAATGAAGAACTTAGCTATACTAACAGTGAGAACACATGGGATCACAGCTAACTTTTTTTTTTATTTTTTTATGAATTTATTTCTTCAAAAGTGCAGGTATACAACATGCATACAAATTGGGACCACAGCTTACTGTCACTGCATTCATCATCCTTGTTTAAATGTACATGTTACACACTGTGATAACAGCCACAGTCTGTATTCAACCTCCAGTTGGTTCTATGCAGTAACTATGCACAGATATTTAAAATATACAAGTGAGCACTGTCATGATAGAGTAATATGTGCCATCACCTCTTTGTTAAGCCATCAATATTATTATTTTATTCATCAATATAATATTCTAATATATAAAGCTAATTGTTATTGTATACATTGTTTGATAAAGAAAAACTACACAAAGGTTAAGTTAAATTTTCATAAACTAAAATATTATCGTTTCAATCATGCAACAAGTTACTGCTTCTTCTGTCTTTTGCGATACTCACCCTGACCACTAGAGGCCACTAAAATGTATTTGCTATGATCAACTATTGTATAATGAGAAAGAACTACTGTATTGGATATAAAGTAAGTAAGGAAACACTAATAAAAAGATTTAATCTATATCATATTTTTTCATATGTGTAATTATATCATCCAAAAAATACAACAAAACAATAAATAACAGTAATTTATTGTCACTCTAGTCATGCTGCTTGATGATTTAAATGGATATAATCAGAAATTTTACAAACAAAATCCAATTTGGTCCATAATACTACACAGACAATATTCCTCTTAATGCACTGTTTAAACGTGCAGACCCTCTCCCCCCTTCCCCCCCAGTCTGGTGGCGTCCTGTGATGTGGCTGGACGTTTGGCGTTTGGGACACTGGACCGGACCGGGCAGTTCTGCAGGGGACAACAGCTGGAAATGGGAGCTTATGTGGAATGTGAGGAATTGAGTTGTGTGGTAGGGGGCCCCTTCAGTCCTAACAAACTCAGGGAGGTCCAGGGCCTGGTCTGGAGGCCTTGGATAAATAAACCAACGGAGATGACCATGCACTGTGCAGATAGCTGCCATCACACCGCCACAAAGTCTAAACACGCTCTAACCACCATTTTCTCCTTCTCTTGTCCTGTGGTCCAAATGTTCTCCATGCAGACTTCAATTATAGGACCTTTAGAATCGCCGAGAACGATTTTGTCTGTTTCGACGATTTCATGTTTTCTGGATAAAGTTTGTTTCAGTCTTACTTTTAGAAGAGATGATATGTTTTATATATGGTGCATATATATATGTTTTATAAGTGGTTTTTCTCCAGAGATATTTCTACAGTTGATTTTGAGCCATATATAGCCTTACTCTGTCTGTTCACGGTCGATCTACAAGAACAACATTTGATTTTTGATAGATAAAAAGTCAGCGTTACAGTTTGATCATCAATCAATCAATCAATCAAACAATAATAAAACAGGAGATACAATAATAATAAACACAAAGTTTTTCTGGTTTAAATGTCCTGCATCAGCAAGCAAAAATTAAGTGGGGAAAAAAACATGATCCTATATATGAAGATTTGCAAAAACAGATATCAATGTTTTGAATTTGTCAAAAAAAATGTTTTGTTATTGGCAGTCAATGTTTGCTCAAGTGCTCAAGAAGGAGTGAAGCTTTAATTGTGTGGCACTAGAATAGATCTGACTTTTCAAAAATCGAATTTGTGTGTGCCTTTGAAATATTTTTCTTATTCTTTAGTTTTGTTTTTGTAATCACACTATTCATATAGAAAGTAAATAATTGAATTCAATTACATGTATTATTGTATAGCCCTAAATCACAACTGTAGTGATCTTGGAGGACTGCACAAAACCGTTGATTTGTCAACTCAGATCAAAGAATCAAACAGTTCCACAATCAACCATTCTACACTGCAAAAAGAGATAGACAAAAAGTATCATAATTTGAACACATTTTGACTTCTTTGTCCGATGGCAAATCTTGTTTTAAGACAGTCAGAATGTACTCAAATTAAGATAAAACCCAGTCCATTCAAGAAAATATAGCCTCATATTTAATCATTTTTTGCAGTCTATGACCATTTTTCACTCTCTCTCTCATGATGGTGTTATATGTTTTATTTGATCAAAGCAACAGATCAGGAGGTGTTCCTTTCTCCGCAGACGTTTGCCCTCCTCTCATCTGCTTCTCCACTCCTGCCTCTGTGACCAGTCCTTCCTGCAGTACATGTCTCCCTGGAGGCTCCGTGCACCCGAGCGTTCATCCGTGCATGCGTGGGTCTGTACGGGCTATAGGTTGCCGAGCCTCCGTCCAACATCCACACACACGTTCCCAGTCTGAGGAAACATTTATTTATGAAGCAGAGGCCGCAACACACTTCTGCTGGGTGAGAACACACGTGTGCAGTCTGGAGTTCACGGTATCACTGGGATATTGTTACGAAACCAAAACCAAATATGAAATAATGTTGACAGAGGTAATTATTATTATATCAGTGCTTGAAGCTGCCTGGGGTAGCTAACTTTCTATTAGATATCTTAAAGTCAGAGATTTTATACTTGCTTCTTTACTACGCTAAAGTTAGAGATTTCATTTTTTTTTTGTATTTCATTTTATTGTTCATCTTTTGCTGCGTGCTCCTCATTCCTACTGTTCCATAACTGGTGATGCAACACTGAAATTTCCCCATTACTTAATCTCATGTATTGGTTTGGCCTCTGTAGCATCAAACATACTTCTTACATGTTTACGAAATGTTTTAAACAAAGATGACGGCAGCCTTCTGGTCTGATTTGTTCACAAAATATTTTCTGTTGGGACAAACAACGTGTACAATTTATGAGAAAAAGTGAGGTGCCCCAGATTTAAGTATTATTTTTCCCCTGATATCTGTACTTCACTTTTAATATCTATTGACAGCTGTAAACATGGGCTAATACAGGTGTAAAGTGGTTAGCAACGCTTCTAAATGAATCCATTCATTGTGGTTAGCCATGCTTCTAAGTTCCATATAGGATAACATGCAGTTGCATTGGGGCCAGTGTGATCTACAGCCAACGCTCAAAGTCTCAAATAAATGAATACATGTAGCGTTTTAAGTTCATATAAAACAATGTACTTTACTTTTACTTGAGTAAGGGGAAGCTTTCAGTGCTAGATTTTAGATTTCAATACAAGATTCTTAAATATGTATCATTACTTTTGCTTTTGTAGTTTGGACTAGTATTTCCATCTCTGCGTTTTTAATCTAGTAGCATGAGGGCAAAGAATATTATCGATATCTACATGGGTTTTATATAGCGCTTTTTTGGACTCTCAAAAACGCCTCAAATGTGAATATTCCTCCACGCCATACCCACTGTAGTCACAGCTGGAAGAATGATTCATCAAAACAAAAAATAATTGCTAAATAGTGCTACTGAAAAATCTTATAGAGAAAAGATCCAACTTTGTCCTGTCTGTGGAATAGTGTAGTATAAATTCTTGCTTGAATGAGTATCTTTTTTAGCTTTGTCAATCCTACATCAGAAC